TCACCACCTAACTAATAATAGCTCCAGAAGAGATAATAAAGAGTAAAATGAAGGAATCAGAGATAATACAAGAAAATTTCCCAGAATTGAAAGACATGAGTCTCCAAATTGCAATAACCTATGGTGTCGAACACCATGAATGGGGAAAGACCACGACTATTGTAAGTGCCTTGCAGAAATGCATCAATGGACATTTTAAAAGATTATAATACAGTACAGGTGGAAATAAACAGGTTAAAAACCAAGTATCCAATAGGAACCCATTCTTATAAGATATGCAACAGATAACATGAAGCAATGCCTTCAAAATGCCCAAAGAAAAAGATTTTCAACCTTACATTTTATTTATTTATTTATATGAGACAGTTTTGCTCCTGTTGCCCAGCATGGACTGCAATGGCATGATCTCAGCTCGCTACAGACTCTGCCTCCAGGGTTCAACTGATTCTCCTGTCTCAGCCTCCTGAATAGCTGGGATTACAGGCGCCTGCCACCACGTCCGGCTAATTTTTGTATTTTTAGTAGAGACAGGGTTTCACCATGTTGGCCAGGCTGATCAAACTCCTGACCTCAGATGATCTGCCCACCTCAGCCTCCCAAAGTGCTTAAATTTCATACTCAAATCAACCTTAAATTTTATACTCAAACTATCAATCAAGTATAAAGGTAGAAAAAAAGACATTTTTAGACATAAAAGTCTCCACAAATTCATCTCCCACATACTCTTTAATGGTAAGCTGTTAAAGGTTGTGATTTACTAAAATTAAGGAACGTACAAGAAAGAAGACATGGTGACTTAGTTTAGGCTGCTATGACTGATTACCACTGACTAACAGGATAATAAATGATGGAAATCTATTTCTCACAGTTCTGGAAGCTGGAGGTCCAGGGTGCCAGAACGGTCAGGTTCTGGTGAGGGGCATCTTCCAGGCTGCAGGCTGTCAACTTTTTGCTGTATTCTCACATGGCAGAAGAAGACTACAGAGATCACCCGGGCCTCTTTTATAGGGGCAATAATCCTATTAACCAAGGCTCCATGCTCTTGACCTAATTACCTCCCAAAGGCCTCATCTCCTAGTACCAACACATTCAGAGTTAGGATTCTAGTGTGAATTTTAGGGGAACACAGATATACAGTCCATTGCACATGGGATCCAGGAACAGAAAATTTACATACAAAATAGGTAAAAGGAACTGCCAGGATAACAGCAAAGGAAAGAGCCAGGGAGACAGCTGGCAGCGGGCCTGGAGGGCAGCCAGTTCAGAGAGAGGAGGACAAAGGGGAGTCAGTTATCTAAAATCGCGGCATCAAGAGACAGCAGTGTACACAAGTCATTCAGAACTACAGAAGTAAATAAAAGAAATACCGAACACAAGTGAAATTCATTGCCCCAGAAGAGCGAACTGGAAGAGGGCATGGGAACAAAGATTGTTTTAAAGCTTTTAGCTATAGTTGACTTTTTAAGTTTGTATTAGTCTCCTAGGACTGTCATTAATGAATTAACATAAGCTTGGCAACTATGGCCTTCTTTCTGTGTCTCTGTGTCAAATCTCCCCTCCTTTCTTTTATAAGGACACCACTCACTGGACTCAGGACTCACCCTAAATCCAATAGGCACTCATCTCAAGGTCCTTAACTCAGTTACATCTGCAAAGCCCCTATTTCCAAATAAGGTCACACTCACCGCAATCAGGGTTGGGACGTGGATGTACCTTTCTAGAGGACACAGTCCAACCCACTACAAAGCTATATATATGAACTACTTTGAATATTTGTACTTATTTATTTAGCATGTACATTTTAAAAGTTTTTAGCATCTATTTCCAAGGTGACTTCCAGAGAGAGATTTCCATGTATACTTCTACCAGCAATGAATGGAAGTCTCTATTTTCCTTCACCTTTGCAAACACTGCACATTATATTGTACACACTTTTGGCCAAAATAATACACAAATGTTATTTTATTGTTGACTCAATGTGCCTTTTGGATTACTAATGACGTTTGGCACTTAAAAATATATTTATGTACCATTTGCTCTTCCTCCTCTGTAAAGTACCTGTTCATGTCCTTAATTCATTTTATTTCTATTAGGACATTTATCTCATCCATATAAAATAAAAGGAAAAAGATGTTATGAAAACATTGTTTTAAATAGTCAAGTAAATGAAAACAACCTAAACTTTCAGCCACAGAAACTGATTCACTAAATTATTATATTATTTAATTCCATTAAGCTATTATGTCATTACGGAAATGTGTCATTACGGAAATGTTTCATTACAGAAATGCATCTAGCATGAGAAGTGATTACAATGTAGGTAAAATAAATGGATTAAAAACAGTGTATCCAGGCTGGGTGGGTGGCTCACTCCTGTAATTCCAGCACTTTGGGAGGTCAAGGCAGGTGGAACACCTGAGGTCAGGAGTTCGAGACCAGCTTGGCCAACATGGTGAAACCCCATCTCTACTAAAAATACAAAAATTAGCCGGGCATGGTGGCACACACCTGGAATCCCAGCTACTCGGGAGGCTGAACCAGGAGAATTGTTTGAACCCGGGAGGCAGAGGGGTGCTGTGGGCTAAGATTGCACCATTGCACTCCAGGCTGGGCACAAGAGAGAAACTTTGTCTCAAAACGAAACAACAAAACAAAAAAACAGTGTATCTAATGGGACACTTTTCCTAAAGGATATGTAATAGGCAATATTATAAACATTTATATAGCATTTATCATATACCAAGCATTGTTTAAACATTCCATAATTATTACAACAATTCTGTGTAATGGGCTCTATTTTAATCCTTGTTTACCAAAAAGGAAACTGGAGCACAAAGAAATTATGAAACTTTTGCAAAGTTCACCATGAGTGGTGGAGCTGGGGTTTAAATCTAAGCAGGCGGAGCCCAAAGCTGTGTCATTAACCACCCTCCCAGCTGCCTCTGTCTGTGTCAGTGCACAGGAGAGAACCCGTAAGTGTATACACCAAGGGAGCTGCTGTATTATCTATGGATAGGAAGGAACTGTAGGTAATTTTTACGTCTTTTTACTTGTATGGGTTTCTAATTTTTCTGTAGTAAGTTTATAATGCTATTCCAATTAAAAACACTAAAAACTGGATTTTGAAAACCAAAGCCCTTTTCCTTAGCTTATTGTATAAGACTTGCTTTCAGCTAGTGGGAAAATCTAGAGACTTGGCTACTAGTCCCAGCTCTGTTACTCAAGGCATGTGGATAAATGTTGAATAAAATCTGTATTCACTGAGCATTTACTTTGGTGTTAAAACCTTAAGTAAAGCAGTAAGTGCGATTACTATCATTATTGTCAGTGCTACTTCTTCTCTTTTAACAAGTTAGCAACCCTCTCTGGGCCCCAGTAAAGATTAGCATGAAAATATCAATGGCAGCTGTGGCTTCACTAAACAATGGTGAATGGGGTGATTCCGCTCCAGTTATGAGCCTTTTTCAGGGAGGCAGTTAAGAGTGGGGATATTTGCCTTTTCTAGAAAGTTTAGGAGGAAAAAAAAAACCCATACCCTCTGACATGAAAAGGATTTCCCTGAAGTTAGACTGTTGGAGTAGTGGCAGTCTAAGGAGGGGACGAGAGGATGCTGCCGACATGAACGTGCTGAGTGAGTCCCTTCTTCACATAATAAGGAAGGTTTTCCTGCCAGTCAATGAGGCTGAGGGTGTAAGCAGGTGAGGACAGAGAAAAGACAGTGTGTCGGTATGTGGGTGTTTATAGAGATACTTGCTCTGTATCTTTAAGATGTCCTGGCAGAAATTAAGCCCATGAAATTGACTAAAATTGCAGCAACCCCTCACTCAGAATGCATCAGAGCTTGTTCGCAGTGATTTTCCTTCCTCTGTCCACTCTTCCTTCTTTGCCAGACTTCATAAATCCTGCCCTGACTCCAGCCTCAACAAACCTAACCCCATGGCCAATGGTCTTAGACCCTGGACCCCTCATTCCCTACCTTTCCAGACTGACTTTCCACTCCGTTCAACTCCCAAACCTGTTGATGACCCAAGTGGACACTACCTCCCCAAATCCCAAACCATGGACCAGATCTGATGTGTGCCCTGGTCTCTGGGAATGACCTGGCCTATCCCTGGACCCTGATTTGCATAAGTCCCAACATCCAGGCAATGCAACAATCTCTGTCTTCATCCAGTGGAATCAGGTTCAGTGGTGTAATCTCAGACCTAAACCAAGATGGTAACTTGGGGTGGGATCCCCGTGATGACTGCGGGTGCAACTGACATAATGTATGGGTCTTTTATGAAGCCATATCTAATTATTATATCAGATTGGAGCAAACATTGCTGAATGGAAGCAATACACGTGATTGTAAAATAAACCTTAATCCTATGGGTCTCTCCCTCACCTTCTATGACACCCTTATTTCTCAATGACCTTCATTCATAGCCACCACCAAATGCTGGCCACGCAAGGTCCTGCCTCCCCCAGGACCTCGATCCTGCTGCCCAGGAGGCTGCACGGTGTGGCGGCCAGGATGTGGACCCTGCACTCAGCAAGCCCAGGGTTCATGTCACAGCTTTGCCAATTCTTCTCTATGAGCCTTCCTTTCTCCACTTGTAAAATGGGGAAAATAATCACCTCCCCAGATTGTGCTGTGAATCAGAAGTTGTGTGTGGAAGTGCTGGCTGCAGCCACCTGCCCCAGTTAAGCTTCTGCACATTGTAGTCATTGGTTTTAGAGTCAGGGCCCTAGCACAGGTTCTGGGCACCATGCTCCCCTGGCTTCATCTTACTGAGGAGTCAGTGCCCCATCTCACCACCTCTCAGGAAATGTCCAAATGAGCATCTTCTAGCTTTCAAGTAAGCACAAGCCCAGCTAGCAGGTGCGTGTGTGTGGGGTGTGTGTGTGTGTGTGTGTGTGTGTGTGTGTGTCCCTGTCCCAGGCACAGGCCTGGCTTCTGGAGAACCACTGCGTTCACCTGCTTCACAGAAGAGCACTGAGCCAGTTTGTTGACACACCTGGAAGAGGTTAGCAGCCTCCAGGACCCGCTGGACGTTCTGCTTGGTGATCAGCGCCTTGCTGGTGTACGTGTAGTCCAGGAGAGTGTGCATGGTCTCAGCATCAACCCCCTTAATAATGATCCTCTTCTCATACTTTTCCTTTAAATCATTGCAGAACATGGCCCTGGAAGAGAAATGTGTGAATGTGAATCCTACCAGAACCCAAGGTTCCAGGCCTGAAGAGATCCCATTTCAGATTCCTCGACCCTCAGAGAACAGGGAGTTTCCCAAGGTCAGGTCCTGGGCCAGTGGCTCTCTGCTCCCCAGCAGCCCCTACACGTCAGACATTCCATCAGAACTCACCAAGCTGAACAGAATTCCATGCCCGACTGTGATCCCCGAAGTCAGTCCCAGATCTATTTTATTGGCTTTTATTGGCCCAAAGCGCAGGTGATTCATGTGAGGGCATTGTAGGATCCCCAGGCTTCATCTTTTCTTCCTCCCCCAGCGCCCAAACAGGGCTTCTGACTCCCACAGTAGCTGTCTGCTGGCCTGGAGCCTGGCCGTAGCTGAGGCCCCAATACCTGCCAGAAGTGCAAGTGGCCCTGCAGCTGCCTCTCACCTGACGCTGAACCTCATGTCCGCGGTTCCCAGATGCATGTGCGAGCCCTGAATTCCCTCATTCCAGGACTCCATCTCACCTCTGGATTCTGCCTTTCCTGCTCCCTCCCCAGGACTGGACTTCCAGATGCTTAGCCTCCATCGTGGAAGCAGGGAAACAGGGTGTAGTTTCTATTACAGCATCTGATGGACCAGGATTCGAACACCAGCTCCACCAACCCCAGAGTTGGACAGGTTATTTAATCTCCATGACCTTCAGTTCTCTTATCTGGAATGGGGATTTTAATAGCTATTTTTTAAGTTTATTGTAAGGAGTAGGACCCAAAGGACTATAAATCATTCTTCCATAAAGACACATGCACGCGTATGTTCATTGCAGCACTATTCACAATAGCAAAGACATAGAATCAACCCAAATGTCCACTGGTGGTAGACTGGATAAAGAAAACACCATGGTGGTACATAAACACCATGGAATACTATGCAGCCATAAAAAAGAACAAGATCATTCCTTTGCAAGGATATGGAAGGAGCTCGGGGCCGTTATCCTTAGCAAACTAACCCAAGAGCAGAAAACCAAGTACCTTGTGTTCTCACTTATAAGTAGGAGCCAAATGATGAGCACAAGTGGACGCATAGAGGGGAACAGGACACACTGAGTCCTATCGGAGGGTGGAGGGTGGGAGGAGGTAGAGGATCAGGAAAAATAATGAGTATAGGCTTAATACCTGGGTGATGAAATAATCTGTACAACTCCCCATGACCTAAGTTTACCTTTATAGCAAACCTGCATATATATCCTGAACTTAAAACCAAAGTTAAAAAAAGAGAGATAGAGAGATTTTTTTTTTTTAACCCCACACCAGGCTCAGATGTAAATTTATCATACTTCTTCGACTTTGACATTTAAACTGTTGGCCCTTCCCAGGGAATGAGTGAGCAATTTTATTTATTTTTGAAGTGTATGTAGGCCAGGCATGGTGGCTCATGCCTGTAATCCCAGCACTTTGGGAGGCCGAGGCGGGCGGATCACCAGGTCAGGAGTCTGAGACCAGCCTGATCAACAAGGTGAAACCCTGTCTCTACTAAAAACACAAAAATTAGCTGGGCATGGTGGCACATGCCTGTAATACCGGCTACTCGAGAGGCTAAGGCAGGAGAATCGCTTGAACCCAGGAGGCAGGGGCTGCAATGAGCTGAGATCATGCCACTGCACTCCAGTCTGGGCGACAGTGTGAGAGTCCATGTCAGAAAAAAACGTTGCTAAAGTGTATATAACCTAACCATGCTCTGAAAAGATTTCTGGAATTCTGGAAACCTGAATGGCACCCAAAAGACAGCAAGAATGCATGAATTAAAAGTAGGTGGGGGGCCGGGCGTGGGAGTTCATGCCTGTAATCCCAGCACTTTGGGAGGATCACTTGAGGTCAGGAGTTCAAGACCAGCCTGGCCAGCATGGTGAAACCCCGTCTCTACTAAAAATAGAAAAAATTAGCCAGGTATGGTGGCGCGCTCCTGTAATTCCAATTACTTGGGAGACTGAGGCAGGAGAAACTCTTAAACCTAGGAGGCGGAGGTTACAGTGAGCCAAGATTGTACCACTGCACTCCAACCTAGATGACAAAGCAAAATTCCATCTCAAAAAAAAAAAGTAGGTAGGGAAAAGATAGAGAAAAACATGAGTGGGAACATAAAGGTAATCTATGAATGAGGCTAGCAATGCCCGCCACGTGGCTGCTACACTGTCTTTATAGGTGGGTTGACCAAGTGCATCAGAGACAATATGGCCAGTTACACAATTCGCAATCCTCACTCTGTGTGTGTTAACAAATCCAAATGCTCAGAATAATTATTCTTGTTCTTGGCATTAAAAATTAGATGGGCTGAACAATAGCCTCACGACATTCTCACCTCATGAGGGCAGTCTTTAACAGATACAGCTGAGACAGCTCCTTTAGTCCCACTCCCCAAATCCTGTTCACTCTTGCGTACCCTCCCAGAGGCTGTGAGACCTCAGCAATCCTGTAAGCTGGGGCAGCAGAGCTTATAAAAACAAATCCTTGGAGACTCTCTAATTCCACATCTTTCAGTTGGCCTCACATTTGCAGAGCACCCATCTGGGTAGTTCCGGAAGAGATTTAAATCTTCTTCTAGACAGTACTCTGGACTGAATTGTGTGCCCCACAAATTTGTATGCTGAAACTCTAGGGCTGGGCGTGGTGGTTCATGCCTGTCATCCCAGCACTTTGGGAGGCTGACGCGGGTGGATCAGTTGAAGTCAGGAGTTCAAGACCAGCCTGGCCAACATGGTGAAACGCTATCTTTACAACAATACAAAAATGAGCCAGGTGTGGCTAATGGCTTCAACCTGGGAGGCAGAGGTTGCAGTGACCTGAGATTCAGCCACTGCACTCTAGCTTGGGCAACAAAGCAAGACCCTGTCTCAAAAAAAAAAAAAAAAAAAAAAGACAAGAAACTCTAACCCCCAATGCCCCAGTGTGACTCTATTTGGAAACAGGGGTTTTAGGAGGTAATTAAGAAAAATGAGGTCATAGGGTTGAGGTCCTAATCGGATAGGATTGATGTTCTTATAAAGAGAGGAAGAGAGACTAGAATTCTCCTGTGTGATCGCTCTGCCCCATGTGAGAACTGGGCGAGGAGGTGGCTATCTGCAGGCCAGGAAGGGACTTCCCTAGCGCCCGCCCATGTAGCAGCCCAATCTCGGACTTTCAGCATCCAGAACTGTGAGAAAACAAATGTAAACATGGCGAATCCATCCAGTCTATGATGTTTTGTTACGGCAACCCAAGCTGAATAAGGCACATTTTGGTCCTGAGAAGTGGGGTGCTGCTGTCACAAATACCTACAGAACGTGAAAACGGCTTTGGAACTGAGTATTGGGTAGAGGTTAGAGGAGCTTTTGAGGTGAATGCTAGAAAAAGTCTAGATTGCCGTGAATAGAATGTTGGCAGAAATATGGGCATTAAAGGTCATTCTGGTGAGGTCTCAAATGGAAATGAGGAACATGTGTTGTAAACTGGAGGAAAACTGATCCTTGTTATAAAGCGGCAAAGTCTGGACGAAACTGTGGTCTGCTGTGTTGCAAGAGGTGGGACCTGCAAACAATGAAACTGGATATTTAGCTGAGGGTACTTCTGAGCAAACGTGGAAAAAGCAGCTTCTTTCCTCCTGGGAGAGGGATGAATTAGAAAAAGAATGTTCAGGCAAAAGGGAACCAAAAATTAAAGAGTTGGAAAATTCTCAGCCTACCCATACTGAGAAAAATGAGGAAGGATGTTCTGAAGTGAACACCAAAAATGTGGCTGGACCATCACTTAATAAAATGCCTATGGAATTATAGGAACAGAAAGAAACACTGCCAGTTTGAACTGAAGGGGAAGAGACAGGACAATTGAAGGAAGGCTGTCAGACTGCTTGGATCTCACAGCAAAAAACAATGAGTTACTCAGCTGTGAACATGCACTATTTTTATTTTTTGAGACAGTCTCACTCTGTCGCCCAGGCTGGAGTACAGTGGCGCCATCTCAGCTCCCTGCAACCTTTGCCTCCCTAGTTCAAGAAATTTTCCTTCCTCAGCCTCCAGAGTAGCTGGGATTATAGGCGCCTGCCAGCACGCCTGGCTAATTTTTACATTTTTAGTAGAGACAGGGTTTCACTATGTTGGTCAGGCTGGTCTCGAACTCCTGATGTCCGGTGATCCACCCACCTCGGCCTCCCAAAGTGCTGGGATTACAGGCATGAGCCACCACGCCTAGCTCGCACTATTCTTTAAGAGGGAAAAATGACCGTAAGGGTGATTCAGAAATAATCAGGGCCACTGCCTCAGTTCAAGAAGCCAGATAGCCTCCATGAGATGCCTCGGAGTCAGGGGAGGGGTTGTTGGGAGGACTCACCTACAGCCATGGAGGTGACATGGCCTCCTCAGCGGGCCGGAAGGTAGGACAAACCAAAAAGGGTTATTCTGAAGCCTTAAACTCTACTGGACTTTATCTCCTAGGTTCTGGGCTTTCTTGGGACACATCACTTCTTCTTTCACATTTCTCCCTTTTGGAACAGGAATGTCTATCCCACACTTGCCCCATTATCGTATCTTAGAAGCATATAACTTGTCTTGTTCCACAGATTCACAGCTGGTGAGGAGTTTTGCTTCAGGATGAATTGTACTTCAAGTCTCACCCATATCTCACCTAGATGAGATTTAGACAAGAATTTGGACTTCAGAGTTGATGCTGGGATAAATTAAGACTTGGAAAGCTGCTGGGGTGTAATGAATTATTTTGCGTATAAGAAGGACATGAATTTGGGGGCCAAGTACAGAATGTCATGAGTTGAATTATGTCCCCCACAAAATTCATATGCTGAAGCCCTAACCCCTAATGTGACTGTATTTGGAGATAAGATCTTTAGGAGGTAAAGGGAAATGAGATCATAAGGATGGGTCTCAATTTGAAAGGATTAGTGTCCTTATAAGAAGAGAGAGGTTCCACATACACCCCACCACGCCTGCTCACGCACCAAGAAAAGGTCGTGTGAGGACACAGT